CATTCGGTAAGGTTTAGTCTTTGATCTCCATCAGTATTTAACGTCTTCCTCACCTTCACCAAGCAAGGTCTTGTCACCTTCACATCCCAGTTTGTTCATGAGTTTTCCTCCAATTCTGATGCTGCTTCTTCTTCTGATAATCCAGTATTTCTGATTATTTTATTAGCATAAAGATTGGATAAGCGTGCAGAAAGGATGCACCCCTGATCACCTTGTTCTGTTCAAACAACGGTCTCTTCGTCGATGTGAAGATTTCAGGTGAGCACAAGTAAACCCTCTGGATTTCCCATTTTTCAAAATGTTATTGATAATATGTTATGATCCACACAGTCAATTGTCTTTGCATAGTCAAGAAAATGCAGGGCAATATCTTCTTCATATTCTTTCCTTTCATCCAACAAAGATATCCCTCATTCTGTTCCTCTTCTTAATTTATCTTGAATTTCTGGCAATTATTTTTCTATGTAATGATGAAACTTTTTTTTTTTCACCCCGGGAAAAGTTTAATTTCAAGTGATATTCGTGATGTTGTCGTTTTTAGGTTCTGTCAAGTTATTTCCAGCTCTTAGTCACCCCTTGAACAGTTGAATAAAACACTGTCTCATCCCATACCAGATCCATGATCCTTGCTATACTTGAGCCTTCATCACAGCCACTGTGTCAAGCCATCTCCTTGAGGGCTTTCACCTCTTTTGTTGACCCTCCACCTTACCAAGCTTGACATCTTTCTCCAGCAAACAGTCCCGTCTGACAATATGCCCAAAGTATGTGAGATGAAGTCTGGCCATTCTCACTTCCAAGGAATCTTCCTGCTGCACATCTGCCGGAACAGATTTGTTAGTTCTTTTAGCAGTCCATGGAACTTTCAGCATTCAATGTCAGCACTACAACTCAAAAGCATGAACTCTTCTTCAGTCTTCTTTATTCACTGTCCAGCACTCACATGCATATGAGATGATTAAAAATACCATGTTTTGGGCCAGGATCACCCTAGAGCTCAAGGAGACATCTTTGTTCCTCAACACTTGAAAGAGGTCCTTTGCAGCCGATTTGCCCAGTGTTATACATCGTCTGATGTCCCGACTCCTGCTTCCACTGGCATCAATTGTAGAACCAAACAATGTGAAGTCTCCGACAACTTCAATCTTTTCTCCATTTATTGTGATGCTGCTTATAGGTCCTGTTGTAAGGATTTTTATTTCCTTTGTATTGAGATGTAAGCCATCCTGCAGACAATTCTTCAGTCATCATCAGTAAGTGCTTCAAGTCATTCCCACATACTTCCTGCTTGATTTTAAACCATGCAGTGTCCCCTGGTTCTGTTCAAACAACAGCCTCCTGCTCTATGTCCATGCTCCTCATGAATACAATTCAGTGTTCTGGAATTCCCATTCTTCCCAATGTTATCCACAGTTTATTATGATCCACACAATCAAATGCTTTTGCATAGTCAATAAAACTCAAGTAAACATCTTTCTCATATTTTTTGTTTTAATTCAAGATCCATCTGACATCAGCAGTGATATCTCTCATTCCACATCCTCTCCTGACATCATCTTTCATTTCTGGAAGTTTTCTGTCAATATACTCCTGCAACCGTTTTTTGATTTATCTTCAGCAAGATTTTACATGTATGCAATATTAATGATAATATTTCATGATTTCCACATTACATGGGAGATTATGTGATAATTCCCATATTCTTTTGGATTACCTTTCTTTCAATTGGGCACAAACATACATCTCTTTCAGTCAGTTGGCCAGGTATCTTTCTTTCTAATTTATTGCTATAGAAAAGTAAGTACCTCTCTCATTGCTTCCTTTTGGTTGAAACTTCTCAAAGGGTATTCTGTCAATTCCTGGACCCTTGTTTTTGGCAATACCTTCAACACAGCTTGGACTTCTTCCTTCAATACTGAAAATTAGTGTCCTAGAACAAAGTGTGGCCACAATAGAAGGGATGATCATGCCCTGTTAGGTAATAAAGCAAGGGCAAATGTGGGTCAAGTAAACATACAATTTAACACATTGCTAATTAATGTCAAACGCAATGAGACAGTCCCTGAAGACAAACACATCAGAAATCCCAGAATATATTAGTCAAAATGTAAAACAGAAAAGCCTTATTATTTATTTCCATGTAACCCCAGGAAAATACTACTCATTTTATACAGCAATAGACTAAGTGAATAGAAATTTAAAAATAAAAAAGAAAAGAAAGAAGCCTAATGAAAGAGATGTAAGGATAACATCTATTAGAGGAATTCTAGAATGCACAGAACATGAGAGGGACTGTGAGTGTTCCCTGATATTCGGACACACGTGGCTCATTCCACTCGTGCATAAACAGAATCAGAGTAAGACAGTTACATTAGATTGATACTAAATACTATATAAAGTTTGAATCAGTTCACTTCCACCATAGTGCACAATTTCCATATGGGAAAATCATGGATTTAAAATTGTATCATGACCCACAGATGTGTAAACATGCAAATTTCCTAGATTGATTTCATGAGCTGAGACACAAGTGTCAGTAATGCCTGCTCATTTTCAATCTTGTCACCAAGAGAAGACAGGCTGGGACATGTTGTCCTAGTATTTGCAAGAGGATTGAGTAGCTTCTCAAGCAAGTGACCCTCTGTGAGAAATGTGAACACACACTCACTCCTCCATTGTCAACATAGTTAGGATCCATTGCTAATCACAGATGGGAACTTGGGGAAGAAGGAAGGGATTCAGAATCAACTAGACCAGACAAAATGGTAACAAAAAGTAATTTATCGTGCTTCCACAGAACCCCAAATTCTGAAAACAAGTGTGATGCTGCCACCTTAAGTAAGTGGTAGTTTGTTATTATTTATTTATTTTACTGCTTAAGTGAGTTAAAATTTTCATGGATTTGAACACATCAATTTTTGGTTGATTGTTTGACTAGTGGGATTCTCTATAGCAAATATTCAGTCTATGCCCTCTTGGGGAAATGCAAATTTAATCGTGTAACTTTGTTGAGGTGTTCAAAAGTATTGTTACTTTACACTGAGAGAGAAGCTGGATTCATCCTTATTATTTCAACCAACACTATTAAAAGTATATAAATAATAACCAGTTCCTATGACAGCAGATTGTGATACACATGGTTCAGGGAGAGGAGTGTGGATGAAATATGGTCCTTCCTCACAGAAGCTCAGCATCAAGTTTAGATGCAGGACATGGAATATCATGGACCATGGGAGAGAATTCTCTACAGGGCACACTACAATCTCAGAACAAGAATGGTACGAGTGACGAGATGGCTATCCCTAATGGGTAATAAATCAAGTAACTATACATAGTGCAAATTTGTAGTTTAGTCGATGTTAGAGACAACAACAACAAAAACATTTATAAAAACAAGCCTTAAAGCCAAAATATACTTGTCAAAATAGAAAAAAAAAAATTACAATTTATAGGTAGGTCAATAAAGACCCTAATTGTACAGAGCAGTAGACAAAGAGAGTAGAATTCATAGGACTGAACACAATGAAAGACACATGAGGATAACATCTTTTAAACAGATTTCACAAAGGCACAATATGTGATAAGAACCTTGAAGGTCCTTCATGCCTGGGACGTGGCACGTAACTCCACAAACAGATAAGCTGTCATTCAACCTAGACACAAGCAGAATCACAGGGATTCAGTTTTGTTAGACTCGTACTGAATTCTATGTAAAATGTGAATCAGTTGTCCTGTGCCATGAATTAAGTGTTCAGATTGTTTAATCCACAGAGCAGTGCACAATTTTAAAATATACCATGACCTACAGCTCTGGTAGCGTAGTGCCTAAGGCACTTGACTGCTAATCAGAAGGTTGGTGGTTCAACCATACCAGCCACTCAGCAGGAGGAGGGTAGGGCAATCTATTTCTGTAGTGATAGCGCCTTGGGAACCCAAGGAGTATTCACTATGAGTTGAGTCTGACTCAATGGCACATAACAACAACAACAACAACGATTATGGAAAAATGCAATTAGCCTATATTGACTTCAAGGGGATAATATATGTCATCAATCCCTGACAAGTTTTAATCCCATCAGCAACAGAAAACTGAAAGAGGTGTGCTACTATCTTCTGTGCACAAAGACTCACTAGGAGTTGAGTCAACCTGACGGCACCTGTCCTCTACTGGAATATCGATGCATGCCATTTTTTGCCTCTCCTGTAGATTCTCAGCTCCCTCATACCATGACACACAGAAGAGGCTGGTGTCTCCTTCTCAGGAATGTTTCCCTCCACCCACCAGGAGAACTTAAGTGGTGTTTATATAGAGCAGGAAGGAAAGAAAGGGATATTCAAAAGTTGGTGGATAGATCATTAAGACAGAGAGACAGAAAGACAGACAGACAGATAGACAGACAGACAGACAGACAGACAGATAGACAGACTGATAGATAGACAGACAGATAGATAGATAGACAGATAGACAGATGAGAGAGAGATGATAAACAAATAGATTAGAGACAATCCATAGATTCTTTCAAAATGAAGCCAAACACTCATACACCTAGACAGAGATTACCCACTTAATACAAATATTAAGCAAACACCAAGAACTAAACTTTATACTTATGACATGAAAGAAGGTGTGGTAGGAAGTGATGATGGATACTGTGGAATTCCCACTGATTAAAATGCCTGGTCTATTTAGGATGCATGGATCACAGACCAAATTGGTACCAGCCATGAACACACATCATGGGACAGCCTTGTTACTGGACTCGCAGTGAGCCACTCACTGAGAAGTCACATCCTGACACGCTGCTTCAATACCCCAGAGAGTGGGAACTCTGTCTTGTCCTCATTAGGGACCAGTGTCCCAATGATGCTGTGCTTCCATGTTGTCGCTCCTGAAGGCAAGTAGACAATGTTTCCTCAGTTGCTGACATCGAGGGCCCCCTGTCGAGATGACTCTGGGAGCTCCACTCTGCAGCGGAGTCTGTCTGAGGGTTTTTGATGGCTCAGGATGTGGTTTCTCTCACTGTGTCTGCCGCACAGTAATACACGGCTGTGTCCGAGACCTTCAGGCTGCTCCACTGCAGGAAGGCGGTGCTGATGGATTTGTCTGCAGAGATGGTGACTTGGCCTTGGAAGGACGGGCCGTAGTGGGTTTCTGAATCGCTAAGGTCAATATTGCCCATCCACTCCAGGTCCTTCCCGGACTTTTGAAGCACCCAGCTGATCCAATTTGCATTTCCAGACCTCTTACAGGAGATCGTCAGAGACTCCCCGGGCCTCTTCACCTCTGCCCCAGGCTGCACCAGCTGCCCCTGGGCACAGACACCTGTAGATGCAGGAATCAGAGGTCAGAGGTTTGATCCTCCCACCCCTTATTTGAGCTCAATCCTGGGCCATTCCTGTCCTGTGAGACCAGCGATGAGGAGGGTGAGGATGGTGGCAGACCCCATCTTGGAAGAAGGATGGAAAGGGTCAGCACTGAGGACCTCACCTGGGCGGTGAAGGAGCCTCCCCCATGGAGGTGGACTGCGGGTTAAATGGGCTGTCCTCCACTTTGCATATCCCTGCCCTACCTTCCAGACGAGACTGCACAGCCCTTATAACTCTAGAACCCCAAGGGATATAAGGGTGCTTGTCTTGAGCCTGCTGGGAAAGACAGAACACCATGCTGATACCATCCCTCCACATACACACATCCTGGTGACAGCACCACGGCCCTGGACAGCACCAAGCAGTGCCTCACTGTCCGAGGGCAGCCCTCAGTCCACACTGGGGGAAGGGAGGTCTTAGGGCTGTGTTTGTCTGCAGCCAGAGGAGCCTGGGGTTACCAGAGACAGTTCTTTCCTCGGGTCCCTTAGGGAATCCAGGATATATTCAGGTTAGAAAGTGTATGTGTCCCTTTAAAGAGGGTTTGAAGCCTCTAGCTTCCCAGATAGCTCCTTCCACATAGATCAGTCAGGTGGACCTAGCCCCATGTGGGTGCCTGTATTTCTTACTGCCCAAGAAGGAACCCAGGTGTCAGAGAGTGTGGTCCTCACTCAGAGCTGTCTCTCAAGTCCATGCTGCTTCAAGTCAAAGATGATGGTCTCAGGTTGGGTTCTCCTGTTAAACTCAGACCTTGTTCCTTGCTTTCTTTGTGACAATATAACTTTGCCCATAATGTCACCCTTTTTAGTTTTCTCATGTCCCTAAAAAAAAAAAAAAAAAAAAAAGCTCAGTGTTGTTGAGTCTATTCTGACTCACAGCGACCCCTTCTTGGGTTTCTGAGGTGGTATCTCCACAGAAACAGTCTTCCTTCTGAGGAATGGCTGCTAGGTTTGAACCACCAAACTTCTGGTTCACAGTCAAATGCCTTAGGCCTGCACCACTCCCTGAACATATCTATATTCAACCTTGAAACCCAAGCAAACACTGTGTTAAGAAATTCCCCTCAGTTGTCTTTGGGTCAGGAGACCCAGAGATCATTCTGGGGCTCCCAGGAGACAAACATGGGGCCAGAGAAAGTATCATGGTGTCTCTCCTTTTCTCCACGACAGTCTGCTCTCTGCTCCTTGAAGTGGATGTTTATATATATATGTATATGTATATGTATATATGACTCATGATGGAGGAATGAAGGATCTTGGATGATGAGGCAAAGGAAGCTGTAGGAGGAGCAATGAGGCCCCAAACCACAAGAGGGATTCTATTCCTTCCTCCCTTCACTTGTTCCTGAGCCTGCCCTCCGTGCCTATTGTCCTGAGGCCCTATAGCCCATGCCCCACTCCTCCCTGTGGGATGGGTTAAGGTCTGTGTTCACAATGTCTCCCCTCAGTGTCTTTGTCTCCATTATAACACACATCAAGTCCTGGACTCTGTGATGTTCATGGTGTGGAGTCTCAGGTCCTTGAGATGGTCTCTTGAAGCATGAGTCAGTGTTTGACAGTGTCCATGTCCAATGTCCGACTACTGATGAAATACACAGGCTCTAGTCAGTGTGTTTTCAGATTTTTCCAAGGAAAGAAGATTTGAGGGTCTACCTAGCCTGAACCCCACCTTCCTGGACTTGGCTCACACAGCTGAACACCCAGATACACGGAAGTCTGTGAATCAGCCTCTCTATCATCAGTCCATCCATATATTGATGTATCTAGCTATCTCTTAGGCTGGTGGTGCAGTGCCTAAGACACTTGACTGCTAACCAGAAGGCCGGCGGTTCAAATCAATCAGCTACTCCTGGGAAGGAAGGTTGGGCAATCTACTTCCATAGTGAAACCTGCTCAGAATTCCAAGGAGGGGTCCCTCTGAGTTGGATATGACTCATCGGCAGTGGGTGGTATTGGTAGCTATCTATCAGAAGTCTTCTATCAGTTTATCTCTATGCATGCATGTATGGGTCGATCTATCTATCTGTCGTCTGTCTATTATCTATATGTCTCTATGTGTTCTCACTATTATTATTATTTTTATTTTTTTGGTGTTTGGGGAAAGTGAGGGTTATTCCCAAAGGCTCTTTTAGTGTCACCGTAACAAGAAGAGTCGATAGGAATTTGTTACATGAGAGATAGCCAATCCACAGGTAATTTAAGTTTTCTGTGTACACAGTCCAGTACCAACCTGTGTCTCTCCTTGGGTGTGCTCCTGCCTGTGTCTCCACTCAAAGCTGAATGTCTGTAGGAACATTCCATGTATAAACCATCTTCTCACTGTGCCCATGAGACCTTTTGAAAGACAGATGACTGCATGGCTGTCTCCCACCTTCTCATCACTTGAATCTGAAGACGCATTGAGCACATGGAATGGAGGGTTCACAGAGAAGAGTTTGCTGATAGTACGTTGTCTCCTAACCCTTCTCCACATCTGCTCTAGAACTGGTCCCCATGCTTGTGCTGGTCTGGAGGTTACCTCAAGCTGAGACTTAAAAGTACCTCACACCCCACCAGTATAGTGAATCTACACTAAAGTCCTGGTGTATTTACTATTTCTAGCCTTGTTCAGATTATCTCTTTTCTTCACAGGAGTCAAAGAATGGAAACAAGGGGAGACATTCTCATGATCACCAGGGGCATCAGGTGGTGCTCACATGCACCCTCCATCCACATATGGCCTGTGTTCTGCCATTGCCATGAGGGGGTGAGGTTCAGCCTTCCTGAGTTTGCCCAATACTTGTATCAGACAGAGGAAGTATTTACCATGCCCTGGAATCACCATGGAAATAGGGTGCATGTAGCAGCCCCAACTTGATGAGGAACTCTGTGTTTGGAACTGTGTGGCACCCACAGATCTGCACACAGAGCTAAATTTAATTGAATTTTACACATATATTTGTGTGCTACAGATGATATAATCACCAGGGAAAGTGTTGAAAAAACGTGGAGTAGAATGACATAATACTTGGACTCAGCGTTATCAAGCACATGGGTACAGTGTCTGTGGAAAATGCAAATTGGGAAATTTGTGAAGAAATACTAAGCCTCTTCTCTTCTTTATGTCACATCAGAAGAAATGGATTAATATACACTCACGAATGCATATGTCTACCATGCCTGCAGTTACACATGCTAATGCAAACACTCACTGCCACAGACTCACATAATAACATTTCTCATTAACAAACACATTGTCATGTACACTAAGCACAGTGACACACAGTGACACACACATTATCATATACAGTAAATACAGGAAACCATCACACATGTCCACTGTTCCTCTCAGTCATACCTGTTCATATACAATTGCCCCTCCTATGAAATTACCTTCCAAAGGAGCAACAGGGTAAACCCAGCCCAGCAGACTCCATGGAGACTCATTTCTGTTCATTCTAGATCACTGAATGGAGACACCAGGAATTCTGGGCTTGAATCTCCTCTCCCAAAGCTGCAGATTTGTGGTTGGGCTGATTATCATTAGCAGAAAGAGAGGCCCTATTTCATGCAGTTCTCTCATATATCAATATGTGGAGTTGCATGGCTTCTGAGAAGGCCCATAACCCAGAGCAGACAAGAGTGTCCTGGCTGAGTTGGGGAGGGGGAAATGATACAATTCTGGGAAAAGGACTTCTCATTAAATGATGATATGCAAAATTCTTAGCACCTAACACTTTATTTACTTTTCCTGTAAGTACACAAAACAAGCATGGAGTTGTTTTTGTCTCTTCCATTGTGTAGACTTAGAACTGCAAACAAAAATGCAGAGGGCTTGTATGGTGTGCCCCAAAATGTGCCAAGAATAAGCCCAGTATCTGTCCCTGTGATCCTCACCATTGGACCAATTGTTCCCGTTACCCATCTGGGTACAGTGCTAGGCATGCCCTATGGGGTGTGTGGAAGCTCATATCTGCAATGAGAACAGGACAAGCTTTCACTGCATTCTAGTGCTCACCCAAAGAAGTGTAGAGGATGAGCCTCCATGCAGAGGAGTCTGCAGGAGCTTCTGCCCTTTCATGTCTCTATGTCTGTCATTCCTTCTCTCCCTGTATCAATGTATTCATAACAGTTACATTGAACTTCATTTGACATGAACAAGCTGCATGTATTTAAGTGTATCTACTGACCATGAGCACCACTTACCATGTAGTCAAGGCCCAGAACTAACCCTGTAACTCTTTCCTATCTCCAATTACGTACATATCCCAGTCATGGTATTTTCCCCGATTCTAGAGTCCTACCTGCAGTAGTGATGGATCAACCTACCAACAATTATGATTTTGGGATGGTTATCTTTGTTTTCAATCATATAAAATCAGTCCATAGTCATGACTCAGCGGACTCTATTCAGCTTTCTGTACCATGTACATGCTGATGGTTTCCCTCAGCCTGAATTATTGGTCTCTGTCCTGTCCAAGGTTAATAAAAGGATATTT